CACAACTCTATTTAAGACATATATGTAACCTATAGAATACCTAAATCGGAGAACTAAAGTAACCAAATAGAAAGGCTTCGGAGTTGTTACTAAAAAATTACAATTAAAAAGTCGACTCAATCTATACAATACGTATTTATGCCTTAAGTATTAACCAATTATAAGTTGATATTAAAACTAATGAAATGAAAAGTTAATATAGACTACTCATTTATTAGTGTGGTTTTTAAAAGGCTTTAAAACAAAGGTAATGCACAAATGTCAGACGAAATAAAAATCAGTGGTATGGGAATTGTATTTATAGATAAAAGATATTATTTTACAATTACATAAAGGTTCAATTTAGTGTTTATTTTTTACTTTAGAAAAACTTAACCAGTATTAGAACAGTATAGATCCAAATGATAGAGATGTTAAGAGAAGTATGAATAAGAAATACTGATTCATATTATAGGCTAATTTTGTTCATGCGGCATATTTAGGGTTTTTAACATATTGGTTACTTACAAAACCCAGATGCTAGAATTTTACCCACTATTGTAATCCTTATTTAAAATACTGTTCTAAGATCGTTAAAATACTATAAATTATTAAACCTATTTTGCCTTCAGATTACTTAACATAAATTATGTCAAAGCTTTAAAACTACTTAGGAAATATGCGAGGGTTCATTCTAGTGTAATTTTTCTCAATAATATCAAACTGTCTTTATATTAAGAACAATTTAATGAACTAAAGAGTGTAGTAATGTTCTGTTTAATAAAACTTATATTTTATGAGGCCAATTGAGACATATTAACAAAGATGATCACATACATAATGACTGAGGGTGTTCTTGTTGATAAATGATGAAGTACCTATTACAAATTACTTGTAATTAATCTCTGTCTGTAGCTATAAATGTGTTAATATTAATTTAATTTCAGAACTTGAATTGCGTTAAAAGAAAGTTGTAATTTCTAAATCATGTTAAGCATCTATCTAATTGTTTGCATTACAGGCAGTTGGTGATCTCTTTGACTATAATGGAAAGTATTTGCGTCTAATTGCCACAAAAAAAAATCGTAGCTGCATCAAATATTTGAAGCTTTGGATTCAAATGTGTAGTTTTTTGATAAAAATGTATAATTAAGAATTAGGTAAGATAAATATAATGCAAATTCTAATGAATATTTCTCTCAATTCTGACAAGAATGTGAATAGATTTAATTTAAACGTAAAAATAAAGTAAACTTCAAGCAAAACCTTGTCACTCCTTCATTTTTTTGTGTAATTTTGTCAATCTCAATAAGTTAGAAATGTAGTTGTCTTTCTTGATTCAGTGACCCGATATATTAGGAAAGGATTACTTTAATGTATTTAATTTGACATTCTTGTAACAATGGTAAGCAAATACCATGCTAATTAGATTTAAGGACGCATTTCGTAATAAAATTATGGAAGATAATATCTGTGTGATTTATTTATGCAAAACTGACTGTTTTTATATTTTAAGTTGTCGCAGGGGTCACTTTAAACAGTTTTAATTACGAATAACATTTAGAGTTCTTTATAAAAATATTAATAATTTTTCAAACAGTGGCAAGAAATTTAAAACATTTGTTCATGAAAGGTGTGACGCAACAAAATAATAAAAGAACAATGGAGAACTGGTTTCCTACATATAAAAAAATATTTTCTATAGTCTGTAAGTAGATAAAAATGATACAAAATAGTGAGTTTTAAACATTTAATAAATAACCAGCAAATATTAAGGTAAAATGACTGCAGATCCAAACCAAGGCCTAAACTTAACAATTTGCTTTGAATGTAGAAGGTTCCTTTGCACTTATTACTTAAATCTGCAGTTGGTTTCTGGAAATCTCAACATAAAGTAATAATTTTCTAGATTTTGTAATTTTTCACAAATAAGAGGTCTGTGGTGTCAGTTGAGGCAAGACTTAGTTTACAAAATTCATATTTATGCTTTTGCTTTGGAAGAGGAAGCACATTTGAAAGCCTAAGACCGCCCTTTTAGTAATCTAAGTTACATATTGCTCAGAATTACGACTGGCGGGCAATAGACATCATCTGTTTTAAGAGCTGATACAAAAGGTATGATAATTACTGTGTTCAATTGCAATAATAAAAAAGTTTAGATAATGTGCCATTTTAGTAATCTAATACAGGTTGAAAGTTCTACAATAAAAGTATCAGAGAACTATAATTTAGTTTAAACAGTATAAATGCAATCATCATCACCAGCTCACTATACATCCCCACCGAGGGGCTCGGAGTCTACCCTAAAGTTAGGGTGACAAATGCAATGCATACTTAAAAATAAATAAGTGGCACAGGAATATATTTAAAAATAGAAATTTAAAATAGTGTCTAGTTTGTCTTGAATGTTATATTGAATCTAAACTAAATGATGTTGATTTTTTCTAGACGAAAGAAATGAGAATGATAAAATTCTAGACCAAATTGTTCCTTTTTAGAGCATTGCTCTTAGGATTGTGTTTTGCTATACTATTTAATAATTTTATTAGTAATGTTTGCTTTGTATTTATAAAGGTAACAATTTGTCTTAAGTATAAAGTAATTCGTAAAAAAAAAATTAAGTATAATGAAGAACTTAAAAAAAATGCAACATAAGACAAACTTGAAGTAAAATCAGAAAAATGTATATCTTGTACGAGATTTGGAGATAATTATGTTAAAATATTGCAGGTAATGGCTATTCAATTCTTTTTACACTATAAAAAAATATATTTTAATAATGCAAAATAGTATGTAAGTTTAATATAACTCATGCCTCAGAATAACAGATTTTGGATAAGTGGTAAAAAAACTTAAACATTAACATGATAGTAAATATTTTAAGCATAAAGAGCCACTTTATCTTGTATTTTGTGTACAAATATAACTTAAAAATAAAGAAACGCAAAAAGAGAGCTTAGTAGGAATTTGACATTTTTTATTTTGATATTTAAATGAAAAAAAATTTGGATGGAGTCCAAGATTCATAGGTTATTTATAAGAATATACAAAAAATGTATCTCACGTATTACTACGGTGTAACAAAGCATATGAAATTACTTAGGATTTGTAGTTTATCTTGTTATTAAATAATTGTGCATTTACTAAAATGTTTTTTATGTTTAGGATATGGATGACATAACTTGAACAGCAATCTCATATGTGTGTACCAACTCCCGTTATTGCTGGGTGGAATGCGGATAACATGAAAACTTCACGCCACAGAGGTATGCTTCATTTATTTAACTACTAGTTTTCGCCCGCGAATCCGTCCGCGCGAAACTAAGAAAAAAAGAAAAGCAAGTAGCCTATATGTTCTTCCAGACTATCCACTAAATCTACGCCAAATTTCATCGAGATCCCTTCAGCTATTTAGGCTGCAAATTCTAACATCCATCAGTCCATTTAAACTTTCGCATTTATAATATTAGTGAGATTTCTAAGTCTTTTTTTCATTAATGGTACAGGTCAGCAAAAGAACCAGTATGAAATGTGGTTGTATGTTTAAAGATAACGCAAGGATTAGTTATATCTACTAAAGTATATTCACTATATGAAATTAACTGGCTATGAGCTAAACTGGGTCCTTACAAAGATCTATATAGCAAACTTTGTTTGTTAAAAAAAAAACATATAAGTTGATGGAAATGTAAATGTTTATATTTTTGTTTCAGGTATTGACCTTGGCCAAGTGGGGTGAAAAATGTGGGTGCTAAGACAATTTATAAAAAAGAAGTAACTGTGTTAAGAGTTGAAATAAAAAGAACTACCATCACGTTTTTTTTTTCTTAAAATATGATTGCCCTTCATTTCCTTTTCATTATAATGGCCACCAAAAATAGAGTAGAATTCCACTGTGTCCACAATACAGTGAAAAGCGTACAAAATGATTGAGCTTAGATTTTTCGTAACATAAGCAATAGCTGGCATTTCAAAGCAACTATCAGCAGATACTAGACTAGAGATAAGTTTTTTTTTAAATATAAGGTGGCAAACGAGCAAGCGGCCACCTGAATCCACCGAAATGGAAAGCGACCGCTGCCCATAAACATCCGATTTAGCAGATGCGCTGCCTACCCTTAATTGACGGAGGAAAAGACGCACGTAAAGATGACATTTCCCCTTCCCATGCGTCTCCTCCACCGTCAAATCCACTTTTCTTTCCAATCCTTTGCTCTGAAGAAAAGAGTGGAAAGGAAAAGGGATTAAAATCAGGCCTCCGGCACCACACTCATCAGACGAAACGCGGAATTACTTCCACTTCACGCCTGTCTTCTGTGTGGTCGTGGTATTATACCGGGCGAGCCGGCCCATTCGTGCTAAGATGTTAAAGCGGGCTCTACCACTGCAAGTGGAGTGATCTCAGTAATTCTGATGCACTTCAGCATTGGAGTGTGATTCAGAAAGCTTATATTTTTACTTTTAGCAGTTTTCAAATAATTTGGCCGTTCTTATCTTTACGAGTCATTACGTAGAACAATTTTAGGTTTAGCGAATCTTGTAAAATGCAAGACACTGCGCAACAACCATGTCCTTGCGCTGAGATGTTTCCAGCCGAATAGTTCCGTTTACAATCGGACTCCAAATTCCAATAAACAAAGATTAGAGGATAGCGTTTTATAAAATTTTACAAATTTACGTTCCAATTTTCGGCCATACACAGTGATTTTTGAATTCGGGCTTACTACATACTAAAGAGGATAGGAAATTTTATGCAATGAAACGGAATTTGTTCTTAAAACTTTACTTATAATTAAGCAGTTGCTTCAGGCAACGTGGTAATGATGTCCGAGTCACCAGGGTCTGTAATGGCCAGCGTGCACACTCTGTAGTATTTACCGCAGGCAGTTCCCAACTCAATATTGTTACCGCTGTAGTGATGGACTCCAGTTTTTGCCAGAAGTGCATAGTACTCAATTTCAGATTTCCTGTAAAATTTATATAAATTAATCCATTATCAGCAGAATTATCTTGTACAATAACTTACTACATTAATTATACATTAAAAGAGATGGTCATCAAATCACATTATTGTTTTTCTCACCTGTTAAGTGTAAGCACATGGTCCAGGACTACTCCATAGGGTTCCCATTTCATTTGACTCAGTAAAATGACAGTATACAAATAACAGTACTTGATTCAAACTATAAATATCATTACCGTAGTATAAAACACTGCTTATGTTACTTGCACTAGTACATTTTACTCGAGTCAACTTTACAGAAACCATACTTCTTTGTCCGAAGACTCCATATGCTTTCCACAACAAATAATAATGGAAACTCTACTTCTCAGCAGTCTCACCTTAGTGGGGGAGCATTCTTAGCAATGATAACGAGCTTGGCTTTCCCCTGACGCAGGGTTTTCAAAGTCTGCTTATATCCTAGGCAGTATTTGCCCGATTTCATAACCAAAGCCAATCTTGAGTTGATTGACTCAATGGTCTTTTTCTGAAAACATACAAAAGATTTGTCAATGATATGATATGAAATCAGTTTCAAGTTCATAAACATATTTCACAAAATAGTTTGTATCTACGCAGACATTATGTAGGCACGTTGTATTATAACCTTAAAACGTGTGTATGATGCATCCTCAACCCCGCTATTTATTAAAATAGCAAGCCTATCGAGCAACATTTGTTATAGGACTAATGAAGAGGTTTATTTACGAATAATAAAAAACCATGCCACAAGTCCATTTCAAATAAACACGTGTAAAAATGCTTACTTGTTTCTTTGCCGCGACCATTTTTGATTATTGCAGTAATCAATACTGAAAGAAATAATATACTTTTAGACCCTTTAGACAACACACAATACACAATTTCGAAAGAAATAAAGTAAAATAATTCAGAAAATAAAAGCGTAATACCTGACGCTTGTAGTAGCAAACGCTAAAGGAAAAGGAAAGATGTAAAGATGGACAACGTGAACTGTCAAATTCCGTGATCCGTGAGTGTCTATGGATTGATTCATTTCCGTTTCAGATATGTTCATAAGTGGAGTAATAACATCTTTCATGCAAAATTGATTTTGAGTAGGTATAAAGTCTGTTTTAAGTATTTAAACTTTAATAATTTAATCTGCAAGCACAAAAAATGACTTACATCAACTGGCTAAAAGATCCAGTAAATATGCCATAATATCTAAAAAATAATGAAATCAACTTCAACGAGTGTTGCCAAACCTACGGCAATTGCCGTGTTCTACGGCTATTAGGCCACCAAATTAAATTTCCACTGCCTACGGCCTACATTTCTATCTACAGTTATTCATTTAATTTTCTTTAACAAATTCTTATTAAAGAATTTAAAAAAAGGTCATTGATTAAAAATTGCTTGTACCAGGAATGATGAAATCCAAATAACTTTTTCCATAAAATATATGAGGGCTAATTTTAACACAGTACATTGAATTTAAAAACTTTAAAATATTGTCGTTTAGCTAAAGTTGGTAAGTAACCATTTTTACTGGTGTTACGGCCCATCGATGATCTTTTCCAAGTCAAACGGCCCCATTCATGACTTTCTCACGATGTACTTGGCCTGGTAAAAAATTTCATTGGCAACACTGACACTGACGTCAATCAATTGCTGCTTGTGATTTTGTGATTGTGATTGGTATTTGACGCTACGTTGCTCATCGTGCTTAGTTTTATTTAAATTCCTATGAAAAGCTGTATGAAATCTATATAAAATGACTGATAAAGTGTTAAAAAAACCTAAACCTGCGGAACCCTCGGCATTGGGAAAACTGTACCTGTTGTCCTACAATATAATTCAAACAATAGGGTATGATTGATTTCTATTACTTTTTTATTTGTACATCAGTGTTAACACTTTTTAAATTTTAATTGCATTTGATGCACAGTTCTTTATAATTTGTACAGAAAATATTAATGTAAGTCATGATTTTATTTCAGTTGGTTTTATTTATTATGGCAGTCGTTAGTTCACTTTTTGAACCGTGGGACACTTACAACATTCTGGGATGAAGTAAAATGGACAATAGTCATATTTCAAAATGCTGCAATTTTAGAGGTAAGTTGAATATGTATTATTTGAAGATTATATTGTATAATATAATAGTAATACACTCACTCATATGAAATGAAAAAAAAGAAATTCCTACATTTTTATGGGGAATGTATTGCATTTGTATTTATTTTATACTTTACATGATTTGCTTCTAATTCAACTGGTTTCATCTTTATTTGATTAGTGTCCTGATGTTTTTGATATAACTCATTTTATAATATCTTTAAAGTAACAAATTTTATATTTGCCTTTAAAATAATAGAGTAGAGTATGATCACTTTTCATAAGATATGCTGAATCTCTACTTCATAGTCATACTTCCTTGGATGAAAATAACCTGTCAGTGCCATCTCCTGATCTCAAGTCAAGTTCTGTTATTGTATATATGAAAGTACACTCTAACAGCCTTACAAAGAAATGTGGTATAAAGGTAAACTTAGGAATAAACTGAGTATAAGCAAAATTGGTACTAATATTTGTTTATATATTATTTGTAAGGCTGTAAGTAGATGAATGTTAGATAAAACCTGGCTGGCAAATTTTGTAGTTTTTCTCAGAGCTTGACAGTTTATTAAAAAAAAATGTATTTTTTTAATAAAAGTAACTTGACTGCCAGTTGCATTTTCTTTTTTTTTCTTTTACAATACTTGTCAATTATGTTGGTATCTCATAACATCGTATTAGTCTACACAGTATGTATGTAAAACATAATAAGACTATTGGCTGGAAAATTTTGTAGTTTTTCTTAGAGCTTGACAGTATATTAAAAAAAAAAATGTATCTTTTTAATAAAAGTAACTTGGCTGCCAGTTTCGTTTTCTTTTTTTTAATTTCACAATAGTTGTTGAATATGTTGGTAGCTGATAACAATGTATTAGTCTACACAGAACACAATTATAGACGTGGGGCATACAAGGATGTAGGTGGCGAGAACTTTGTAGCACACAGATTGACCTTGAGCTGCCAAAATATTAACAAATATACTTAGTAATAAATATTAATATTTAAACATTTTAGTTCTCAACATCAATTTAATTCAATGACCTTTTTCATTGCTTGTTTGTAGCAGTGTATAATTATATGAAAATTATTAAATTGTTTAAAGGTGGATTATATGAATATCATGTTTTATTAGTTTTAAACAAAAAGATAATGATGTTTTATCTTTTTTTAAAATGAGATGTTTTTTCCCGAATTGAAGTAGACCTTTACAATCAAAAACATTTTTTTATAACAGATGTTTAGCATTTCAAATTAAATTTTGTTATTCATTAATTCAAGTGAAACTATAGAAATATAAATAAACAGCTGATTTTATTTATTTATATTACTTTCATTGACTTTATATGTATATGAACATTTATTCGCGAATTCCTCCGTGCGACATTAAAAACTCTTTAATAAGAAGCGTATGTATTCTGTTCTGACAGAAAATAGTCTGCTATTTCGCCGAAATCCGTTAAACTATTTTCGCCGTTTCCATTCATCAAAATTTTCTCTTTTACAAGTAGTACGATTTGAATAAGGCAATGACTTAAACATTACCTAACAATGTTTTATGAATATATTCAGAAGGGTTAAAGTCCACGTGACACGCAAGTTTTATGTGAATTCATTAATATTTATAGCTTACAATATTTTTTTAACACGATCTTTTCTTGACGTGTTTGAACAACCTTATACGTAGAAGCGACCCACATACCAAACATCTAACGGTATTCATGTCTAGATGAATAGGAAAAGAAACGGCGATTATGATAATTTTTCGATAAAAATTGTTTTCGCATTAAAATTTAACGATCTGCTATTGGCTACATGCATTAATTGTCGTATCACTTTTTTCGTATATTGAAAATAATTCGCAAAATAGGTCATTTACCTCTTTATTCATAAATATGCAAAAAAGTTAATATATTCACTTAACCCTTATGCTATTATTTTATTGCTAATGGAATAACTAAAGTATATTAACTAAAAATCAATCATTTCCACTTCCACTTACACTTATATAAATATTTTGACCAATTAGTTATAAGTCTAAGTGAGGTTCTATGTGTTCTTCCAGACTATCCTCTACGTCTATGCCAAATTTAATCGAAATCCGTTCAACCGTTTATGCTACAAAATCTAACAAACATCTAACTTTTTGCATTTATAATATTAGTAAGATTATTGCTAATCCATAAAAGTAGTAAGTCATGGTTAAGCGCCACTAATACTAAGCTAATAATTTATTGGCAGGTGGTGCACGCGGCCTTAAGATTGGTGCCGTCCGGTGTTATGGTGGTACTTATGCAGGTGTACTCTCGCGTGTTCCTCGTGTGCGGGGTGCTGCT